TATTCACAATGACATGAACTTGCGTATGTAAAACCTTAAGAAGTCCACATAAACTATTACAGTTAATGAGTTCAGCAAGGTTATAGGGTACAAGTTCAATTTGCAAAAATGAATTATACTTTTATACACTAACAATTAATGGCCTGATAAAGAAATTTGGAAAAATATCCTTTTATAATAGCATCAGAAATAATTTTAAAAATTTAGGAATAAATTTAAAGTGTAAGATACATACTGAAAAATGACAAAACAGTGTGGACAAAAATTAAAGAAGTCCTCAGTAAATGGAAAGACATCCGTTGTTTACAGATAAGACTTAATAGTGTTAAGATGGCAATACTACCCCAACTTAGCTACAGATTCAATGTAGTCCCTAATAAAAAATACCCAGTTGGTATTTTTTTTCAGATATTAAAAAACTAATTATAAAATTCATATTGAAATAGAAATGACCCAGAATAGCCTAAAATTATTGCTGAAGAAAAGATTTAGAGGAATCACATTTCCAATTTCAAAATTTACACAAAGCCAGTTTTCAAGACAGTGTTGTTCTGGCATAAGAATAGACATATGAATCAATGGAACAAAACTGAGAGGCTAGAAATAAGCCCTTATATTTATGGCCAATTTTCAACAATTCAGTGGAGAAAACATTAGTCTCTTCAACAAATGGTGCTGTGACAACTGGATACAGACAACCCATGAGCTAGAGGTTATGCTCAGTGAAATAAGCTAGGTGGAAAAAGACAAGTGCCATATGATTTCCGTAATTTGTTGAGTACAACAACAGAGCAAAACTGAAGGAACAAAACAGCAACAGACTCACAGACTCCAAGAAGGGACTAATGGTTACCAAAGGGGAGGTGTTGGGGATGGTGCATGGGGAGGGAGGGAGAAGGGGATTGAGGGGCATTATGATCAGCACACATAATGTAGGGGGGGTCACGGGGAAGGCAGTATGGCACAGAGAAGACAAGCAGTGTCTCTATAGCATCTTACTATATGCTGATGGACAGTGACTGCAGTGGGGTGTTGGGGGACTTGATAATATGGGTGAATGTAGTAACCATAATATTGCTCAGGTGAAACCTTTGTAAGATTGTATATCAATGACATCTTAATTAAAAAAATCAGATATAGTTTAGACAATTCATCTGAATAATAGATAACCCATGGAATCAGCAACAGTATTTGCAAATCATACCTCTAATAAGGGACTAACATCCAGAATATATAAAGAACTTTTATGACTCAACATTAAGGGGCAAGTCAATTAAGAACTGGACAAATTATTTGAATTGAAATTTATCTAAATAAGATATGCAAGTTGCATATAAGCACATGAAAAGATGCTCAACATTATTAGGGAAATGTGATCAAAACCACAATGAAATACCACTTTACCTCTACTAGTATGGTTAAAATAAAATACAGACATTAATAAGTATTGGTAAGGATGTGGAGATATTAAAACCCTCATACATTTCTGGATCATAAAATGGTACAGCCACTCTGGAAAACCGGTTAGAAGTTCTTCAAAATGTTACACATAGAGTTACCATTTGATTTCAGCATTACTACTCCTAGGTATATACACAAGAGGATTACAAATATATATCCACACAAAACTTTCACATGACCATTCATGGCAGCATTATTTGTAACAACCAAAACGTAGGAACAGCCCAAATGCCCATCAAACGATGAACAGATAAGCAAAATGTGGTATATTCTGTAATGGAATTTTATTCAGCAATAAAAAGGAATAAACAGCACAGATGAACCTTGAAAATCTTATGCTAAGTTGAAGACAGTCACAAAAAACCTAGTATTGTATGACTGAACTTATATAAATATCCATAATCTACAGAAAAAAAGCAGATTTGAGGTTGCCAGGGGCTGGGTCAGAAGTGGGGGAATGGGAATGGAGATTAATTGCGAATGGATATAGGGTTTCTTTTTATAGTGAATTTTGAACAAAACTCTGTGGATATACTAAAAACCACTGAATTGAACACTTAAAATGGTGGCTTTTATGGTATATGAATTACATCTTAATAAAGCAGATTTTTTTAAATGGGACTAATACCTCCTGCTTTGTAGTGCTATTAGGAGAATCAACTGAAGACTTATAAAACTTCTTTTACAAAATTAGGCCCTCAAATATTTCGTGGAACTGAAGATAAATTTTACCTTCTTCCCAACTTTGCTAATTGCATAAATACTACAACAAGGTAAATGCAACAAAGCTCCAGGGTCAGAAGTAAGCTTAAATACCTGCTCCTTTTGCACCCATAGATTGAATGAAGTTCTAGCTTATTCACTGGGAGAGCTGTGACAAGAGACTTTGCTCCCTGTTTTCCCTTTCTAGATCAAGTAACCATTTCTCCCCACCCATCTGGGCAGACAGATTCCCATCCACATACTCTCCTCCACTAGAAAGCATATCTTCTTCCTTCTAGAGGAAGGTTTGAGGTATAGATCTCTCACTTTGGACTTTAGAAAAACTGCTGAGATGAAAACAGTATTTCAAAAGAAAAAAGAATCCATGTCAGCCACAACCAACACCATCCTACCAGTGTTTCCTTGGGTACTCTGACAGCACAGGGCTTAATGCATATTGGGGCCAATTAACAGAGCCCTCCATAAACACATTGTTTCAGATGTATTCAGGACTCACAAGGCTAGAAGACCATGATATTCTGAAAACCACAAAGACCACTGAGATGCTGGACTCAGAATTTTGTCCTATGACCAAAGTCTGTTTTAAGGCCTATTAGGTACTTAGGTCTACCCACGTAGGTTAAGGAATGGGTGGAGTGAAGCCCACATTGGTTTTCCCATGTGAACCAGCAGCATGTAAAATGATTCCAGCAACTACCTTACTCAAGAACATGTAATGTTCTGTTGTAATTTGAATCATGATTTTATAATCATGGGGCACAAAATCAATAATTTTATTTTATATGCAAAGTATGTATATAAAATAGTCATTCCAATAGAAAATTAGTGAAATATGTGAACATTTAAATATTTCACATTAGGAAGAGTACATCCCTAAAAAAAGTGTCACTGTCCAATGTTTGTATCCATCAAGGACATATTGTATGTCAGGCTTGAGTAATACAAAAATGGATAAAACATAGTAGAAACTCTCAAGAGGAGATCCATCTTTTGACAACAAAGACAGTTACACTAGAGTATGTTGAAGGAAAGCAAATAGTTCTCTGTGAGCACAGGGGTGTGGGCACGTGAGTCTGGGGTGTCATGGGGGAGGAGATGAAAAGAAATGCCTAAGCTGGTTCCTAAAGATACAGTAAAGGTAGATGCACAAAAGGACTTTAAGGAACAGCTCCTCAGGCAGAAGAATAAAGTTTGTATATTTACAGACATACAAGATATTCAGTCTAGCTGGAACCAATTAATGAGAAAGGAGGGGTAAGATGAGTTACTGTAAGATTAATTAGTTTACGATGGATAGGTAACAGATAGGGATTTACATTTGGCAAATACATGCACCCACCCTAAATCAGTCCCATTCCACTAAGAATGGCCGTGAGACTATCCAGGAACAGTTGGGTGAGGGAAATGCCTTACTGGATTTCCTCAAAGGGGCTCCTTGGGGAGGGATGATAACTAGCAGTTCTAACTTAAGACAGTAGAAGTTCATAGGAGCCTTTAGCCCCACCCTTGGGAAATGGGTTGACTTCCTGGCCTTGATTAAAGGGAACAAAGGAAATAAATTCCTTCCACCCACTCTTTCCCAATACCCAAAATATTCAAGCTTCTCTTGTCAACAAAAAATGCTTCATTTGCAACATAGCCCAGTCCCCATCACTTCAGTACAGCATAGAAGTAGAAAAGGGTCACACTGCAAGCATCATTTAGTACAAGGCAGAGCTCCATAACCCCTAAGATAGCAGGCCCATCTACCCCCAAAGACCCCATGCCCAGAGCCAAACTGAACACACAAGCAGGCAAACCCAAAATGACGTTGGCCCCAGGTCTCAGCATGTTTCACCCTCCCCTACAGCTCTTCAAGCTTCTATCAAGCTTCATCTTCAAGCAGCCATCTTCTTCAAGCAGCCATCTATCACTTCCATCCCCAACCAGGCCACCTACTAGTATCTGTGCCACCATGGAGCATTTTTTGTGAGGTAACTAACAGGGGTTTACGTGTTACATAAAACAAGAAAATATCTTGTGAAACATATCATTCCATAGAAACTTTAAAATGACTCCCCTGTATATAATCCTAACCAGCAACGAAAGCTCTTCCTCTCTTCACCATAGATATAGGCGATTTTGAAATGAGTGTCATCTCAGAGAGCTCCATACTCAAATATTGCCATTGGCCTTACTAAAGGCTGTTCTCCTTACACTAGGGTAGGAAGGAATCCAAGGTGATTTCCCAGGTTCAGAGGCTGAAAGTCCCTGAAAACTTATAAAAAGATTCCCTTCTTTCTGTTCCCCTCAAAAGATTTTTATAAAGATTATTGCCTAATGGTTTTCTAATCCATCTGAGAAAAGTTAGTTTTAGATTTAAGGGACAATCCAAACACAGAAGCAGGCAGTCTTTCTGATTAGGTACTAGTTTTTAGGATACAGGAGGCAAGGAAAAGGAGTATAGAATCTCAAGTGGCCTTCTTCACCCCAGATCTTCCAGAGAGCCTCAGAAGGTGATCACAAGAAATATTCCACCTTCCCCAGGCCTTGGTGGGACAATTCCTAAAGTTTTACCATCATAAACTGGTGACTTCTGATTAAGTTGCAATAAAAAAACAGAGGGCGTCTTCAAAGAAACACCTTACTCAAGCCTTAAGGCCTCTGACTAATGGTCAAAACATGCTGATGTTTGTATCAGAACTGCTTTTATAAAGTGAGGAGCTCATAAATGGGGGAGGAGACTGAAATAACAACACTTAAGGCAAGGAATAAAACCCATATATTGGGTAGGGGATCACTTGCAGCTTTAACACTGATATTTATTTTAAACCCTTCTCCAATTTCTCAGGGAACTTGAGCTAGCTGTACCTTTGCTGTCACCTGCATGTGCAGGACTGAGCAATCATATCCTCATACTCCTTGTACAAGATATTCCCATTTGCCTCAATCAGAAGGATGCTAATGGGAACATACTTATAAGGGACACAGGAGGGCTGAGGGACGCTTTGGTCTACCAGCTCATTGACAAGATTCTGGATGATGGCATGATTGGGAGAATTGAGACCATAATGTAGTACCCGAGGGCAGGCTCCCTTACAGTAGTTTGGGGTATAGAGATGGGGAGCAATGATCCAGTGATCCCAGCCCAGCTGGTGGAAGCTGACTTGGAAAGGGTAGAGGGAACACTGGTTTCTTTCATGTCCATCATTCCTCCAGGAGGGACCAGGAACCTCAGATGCAGTATTGCCTGCTTGCCGGGCCTTCCGCAAGAGAAGAGAAGAGTCCCTTTCCATAAACTTCTCCAGGCCTCTAGTGAGAGGATTGGCCTTCTGAACACTTTTATGAGTATCATTGAAATAGAGTAACAAGAAGGCAGTGTCCAAGGATGAAGTGCCATGCCACCAGAGGTAAAGAACCTCACTACCTTTTTGCTGCTGACACATGAAGCGGAGTCGTAGATCCCTGAGCCCCTTGTGATTCCAGTGCCTTTGCTGAACATGTTGTGTGACATCCATCTCTGTCCAAGCGTTGGACAGCTGGAAAGGCTTTGGAGAACCTCTTCTAGAGGAAGGAAAGTGGTTGGTCAGGCTTTTCTGGACCCAGGGCTCCAGGTGGCAAGAGAGGTAGAAATGAGCTAGATGGATTTGATGGCGGTAAACCACAGTGGCTCTGACTAGTTGGTATGCTACCTGGTTTGGTCTCAAAGGAAAGTCTAGGGTCTGTATATGCCAGGGACCTGCAAAAGTAAGAAGGAACAAGACAAGAGGGTTAGCTTCTTACCCTCAAGCTTCAATCTCCCTCACAAATCTGCTCAATACAAACTGACAGCTGTAAGCAGCTCTAAGATTTACTCAAGATTATAATAGCTAGCATTGTACACTAGCATATTAGATGTTTTATACACATTAGCTCTTTAATCCATAATAGTTATGTGAGATAGTTATTAGCCCCATTTTGCAGACAAGGAACTTGAGGGTCAGATAAACCATGTCAGAGGTCACATAGCAAATATGTAGTAGAATCAAGTTTTGAGCCCAAGTCTATTTCCCTTTAGAAGAAAAATTGTGTCTTATTTTTAAATAAGTCACAGCACTAGGCTGAGAAAAAAAACATCAAATACAGTTATTTTGTGTGTATTGTGTGTACAAGAGAGGATATTATTTGTTGAGTATTTAAGGTGACCAATTAAAAGAATCGTTGAGACAGATACAAATTAAGAATGAATCCTCATGTTATATCACTATACAAAGGCAGCTTTGGTGTGACAGTCCAATATTGGGGGCTATAGCTTGCCATCACTTCATATCCAGGACCAAGATACCACAAAATAATTTTGTCTCTCAACTTTGATGCAGTTATTTTGCCATTTCAGCCTTCTACTTAAGAATTGCCTTTTGAGCAGCTATTCTTTCTTGGGCCACTTCCCCCTTAACACTTTTAGCCTGATCCTTTTTCATTCCTTACTGAAAATTATTTTATTTTATCCCATTCATTGTACCACTACTCTCCTAAATACCATTTTCAACCAGGCTTTGATCATATAAATATTTTGTTTGCTAAGAATTCTACTGGAAGCTGCATGGCTCTTAGTGATTAAGAGTTTTAACCCAAACTCTAATGCTGACACCCAGTGGCCAAAGCATTGGAAGGCTGGGCCTGCAGTGCTCTGAACTTCTGTGCACTATCCTGACAAAGGTCAAGAGCAAATATTACAAACACCACGCACTGCAGGAAAAAGCCTTCTCTTCTCTTCAAACATCTTATCGCTAAAGGTATGCCAATTTACATATTATTCAGGTAATCTTCTCCACTGAATCCACAAGCCTAGAATTCTTCAGTAGCCCTGGAATGTTCAACATAGCAACTCTTTACCATCTCCACCCATCAAGATATCCTTAGGTTCATGCTCAATACACCCTTAAGTTTAGGGAATTGGCCATTCACACAAGACCCAAGCCAGGCTTTTCTTTGCTTTCTCAATTTACTCCACACTCGCACCCTCTAATAACTTTCCAAGAGGCCCACCCATACACCAGCCCCACCCCGCCTCGAAAGGAACCCAACCCAACCCAACCTCTGGTAGGCTGTCTGGGGAGGAAGTGCCCTTCCCTTTCAGACCTTGACATCACATATTTCCTGAAGCAGGGTGGGGTTGCTAAGGATCACAGCCAGGAAGGGTCTGCTCAGAGCTTTTTCAGGGAAATGCTGACTCACACATTCTGTGTGATTGAACCTGGTATAGCTCTCTGGGCAAGCTCGATTCAGCTGGGTTATCTCCTGATGGAAAGATCAGGCTCTGCTCTCTTGTCAACCATTTCTGGATCCTTTCCAGAGTCCCTAGATGCCAGTATGTCCCACAGTCAGACCAGGATACTGTACTAATTCTGGGCATCCTCCTCTTTAGCCTCACATCATTTGTACAATCTTGATTTGTGCAGCTTTCCTCTGCACTTAGGAATGAAATCCAGATCCCTTATAATGGGCTACAATCCCCGGCCCAGCCTCATATCTTGCCACTCTCCACAGTCAGTGCTCTTTAGGTTCCCTCCATACTGATCTTCCTTCTGGTTTTCAACTCAGACAAGCTTGTTTGCATTCTCTGGGCCTTTGTAACTCTTGTTCCCCCTGCCGTAATCAGACTTCTACCTGGTTCTTGTCTTACAGACCTCAGCTCAAATGTTACTTCTTCAAAGATGGCTTCCCTGACAATCCTCTGTATGTAAAGGGAAGATTTCCTTTCCATACTCTATCAAAATAACCTGTTTCACTCCTTGATAGCATTTACCACAATTTGCAATTATCTGTGTTTATTTGCTTCACCCATGAGAGCCATGCCTATCTTTGCTCACATCTGTATGCCTCCACTTAGATTAGAACAGTGCCTAGCACTCAACAGGTGCTGAGCAAATGTTTGTTGAGTGAATCTTGCACCCACACCAAGCTGTTTTCTCCTTCCTTAATCAGAAGGCATTTCTCTTCCTCTGTGCATAGTCTCCTTCCTCCTTCCTCAAGGTCTAGTTAAATACCACCTCCTAAATGAGATTTTCCACTGTCTCCCTGCTTTCCTTTCCCTGCTTTAAGCAGTGACCTATTTCTTCTTTGGAGTCCTGAGAGCCCTACTGCTTTTCCTTTTCAAAGCATTTATCATGCTGTAACACCATTATGTGATTACTTATCTATCCATTCAACTAGCATGAGAGCTCCTAGAGGCCAGGGAAGCAGTTAGTTACCTCTCTATAGCCAACCCAAGCACAGCACCTGGTGATCAATTAAAATCTGCTGAGAAGTCAGCACAGCAGGGTGATTAAAAGCATAGGCTCGGAAGCCAAAAACCCTGGGCTTGATGCTCAGCTCTACCAATTATTAGCTGTGTTACACTGAATAAGTTATTCTGAGCCTGTGTTTCTTCACCTATAAAACGGGTATGTTAAGAGTACCCACCTCATATGATAATGGTGAGAATTAAGGAAGATAATGTTTGTAAAGTATTTTGTTCAATGCCTGGCACATGGTAAGTTAACAGTAAAGGTTAGCTAGGGGAAGGTTGGTTGTTTTACTTAGAGGAAGGAGTGTAAATCCTCTGTTGAGACTAGCAAAGGCCCAAGATTGAGCTCACCAGGTTCCCAAGATTTCCTTGAAGCTGATGGCTACCTGCATTACCTATAGAGCCCTGAACCTCAGGAGCCCACTGCTGTCCTAGAACATTATGTAACACAGATGTTGAAAAGATCAAGCATCATGGGAACAAAGGAAATTCCAAAATACATTTGGTACCAAAAACCCGAAGTAGCAACAGTCTTAATAGAAAATCTTTTGGATATACAAGGATATTGGGGTACCACATTTAAAGTCTTGAGAAGTTATGGACAGACTTTTGAGTCAGACTTGAGCTCAAATCCTATCTGTTTCTCACTGTCTGTGTGACCTTTGCAAGTTATTTAAACCTCTCTGTGCTTTAGTTTTCTTGTCTTTAAAAATTAGGCTAATTGCTCCATGACAGTTAATGGTGGAAACTATCATTGAGGATTAAATACAATAGCAGATGTTCACTGAGCCAGGTATATAGACCCTCAGATGTTAGCATGTTTCTGTCCTTTCTGAGGACTTGTAAATTTTGACTCATCCTGTGTTCTTTGCAATCTAAGAATAAAATAATACATAAACAGACCTGCTCAAAAATGTATATGGGTATTTCTCAACTACAGTTTTAGGTGGCATAAAAAGCAGTAAGATTTTCTTTGAAAGATAGGAACTGATACATCATTCAGTTGTCCTGGGGCCTGGCAGAGATTCCCCCAGATAGGCCATGAGGCAATCTTCTTAAATTGGGGCCCTAAAGAGAAGCCCAATTCCCCCAGGCTTGCCATCCTTTAAAAGCCAAGCTTGAGTAAACAACCCACCTAACAGGCAATGAAGCCTGACAGTAAATTTATAGATCCCTTTTTCTCTGCTCCTTTCCCCCATTTCTCTCCCTTCTAGGACCACGTAGTATGAGGACTTACCTCTGAGCTGCTTCACTACATTGGTCAAGGGCCTTATCAGCCTCACCATGGTGGCCCCAATGGTGCGGTTCTCCCTAGGGTGTCCACGTGCGTCAGCTGAACGCTGGTACAAGTCCAGCATGTACTGTAAAGGATGCCCCAGGACTCGTGGCTTCCTCTGCTGCTCTCCAGGGGCTTCTTCTAGCAGCTTCTGAATCAGGGGCAAGGTAAGGGCCTCTTCCAGGAGGGCAGTAGAGGGCTGCCCTACCTTTGCCATTTGGACTTTGTGTTCCATAAAAAGCACCAGTCCCCAAAGAAGAAAGATTCTAAGGATGCTAAGGAGGACCATCTTGAAAGATTGGCATTCAGCAACACATTCCAGCCCAAGTCCAAAGGATGTCACTCTGACCCTTTCCTTTCACACAGGTAACCACATCCTGGCTCCAGAACCACAAAGGAGAGGGCAAGAAAAAAAATAAAAGACAGGCAGGCCCTATATTGCTTACTTGGGACGATTTCCCAGACCAAAGGATATCTCCTAACTTGGCCTCTTTGCATCAAAACAAGCAGAAAGAGCAGGTGGAACAAGGCAGCATGCCCTTCCTGCTCTCCAGCACTGGGAACAAGATAGTACTTAGTCAGAAGCTGAGGTAACTTAAAAGAAGAGGTCCATTCCAGGACCCCCTCTCTTACCTTATCCACTAGGATGAAAAAAAGCAGCCTTAGCTTGCTCTGCTCCACAGCTTTAAAGGTTATCTCTTAATCAGTCCTTAAAGGGCCAGCGACCTCCTCCTCTCATTCCACTGGCCTGCAGCCCCTCTTGCAATGCAGCGTTTCCCCAAATGTGATCTGCTAATGGCTTACAGTGAAATTATCTGGGGTGATTATTAAGAATGCAGACTCCTGGGTCCAGACCAAAACATGGATCTGGGGGGTGAGGTCCAGAAATCTGCATCTTAATAAATGCTCCAAAAAGTGCCTATGAACACTCAAATGTAGAAACCTCTGTGTAAGTATGGTTGCTAGACCTTGAAGAAGATGCCTTAACAGTGGTTCTCGATCTTGTCTGTACGTTGGAATCACCTGGGGAACCTAACTATTATGGATGCCTGGGTACCATCTCCAGAGATTCTAATGTAGTGGGTATTGGCGTTTACCAGGGCATCAGAATTTTTTAAGTTCAGCAGGTGATTTTGATGTGCAGCCAAGTTGGAAGTCCCTGACCTCGAATTTTCTGGTTTCCCATGGAAGGTGTTGATCTCCTGAGTGGGCTTCATCAGAGAAGCCTGGGGCAGTAGAAGATAAATCTCTAGAAGTTGGGTGGGATTTCACCTTGCCTGGCTGCTTAATGGGAGACAGCAGGGCTAAGCCAGTTAGTTCAGGCTCAGCCAGAGCAAGATTCTGAAGAAAAATGGTAGGGTACTGAAAAATTGGCCCTGTCCACATAAAGGAAGCTTGTTGGGGCTTTAAGGAGAAAGTGGAGCAGGAGGTCAAGACATGGTTCTAGGAGATGATGAGGCAGGTTTGATTTGTGGGAGGCCTTTACCTCATACCAAGAATATCTATGGGCAGGCACCATTATTGTGAGATAGGTATGGACTTTGTAATCAAACAGATCTGTGTTTGAGTTGTGATTCTGTCTCTTATTAGATGTAATTTAACCTCTCCAAGGCAAATCTCTTGATTTCCCTGAGCCTCAGTCTGCTCACATGTAAAATGGAGATAACATGATTTATCTCACAGGTTGTTGTGTGGATACAAGGAAGTAATCTATGTTAATCACACAAAGCCTAATTAGATATACAACATATGGTTACATGCTGGAAATTATTTGTTCCCTTCCTCTGCTTTTCACTAACATGGTCTTGGCCCTGGCATGTATTGTAAAACAAAAGATACGGGCTTATAGGTCCTCTAGGTCTGTACTCAAATCTCAACTGAACAACCTATTAGCTAGGTGACCTTAAGCAAGGTTTCTCCCAACCTCAGTTTCTCCATCTATAGTGCTATCTCCTTCAGAGAGTTTTTGTTGTTGTAAGTGTGTATACATTTGTATTGTATAAAATGATATATAAGTAAGGGGTAAAACAAATGATCCACAGTAGGCAAAACCTGAATGGCCAAAGCACATGAAAAGATGTCAGAGAAATCAGAAAAATGCAATTTGAAACTACCTAAGATTCAATTCCATACCCATCGGATTGTCAGTATATTGGAAGTCTGAAGCTAAGTTTAGGTGAGGTTGCAGAACACAGGTAATGCTCTTAGGCTGCTGGTGGGAATGTGATTTAGTACAATCATTTTAGAGAGCAATCTGGCATTATTGAGGTTGAAGATACAGCAATACTATTGCTAGAGCAGTAGTTTTCAGTCATTTTTGTCTGTGACTCACAGGAATAAATACATTTTACATTGTAACCCAATGCAAACACAAGCTCAAACACTCATGCACAAACATACATACATGAAGTAAACATTTCTGGAAATAATACTTATCCTTACAACATATTGGGAGGGGTAATATATCATAATAGGTAAGAAGACAGCCATGGAACCAGAGTCTCAAGTTTAAATTCCATCTCCACCACTTATTACCTTGCCCTAGGAAAATTACTCAACATCTCTGTGCCTCAGTTTTCTCATATTTAAAATGAAAACCATAGCCTCTCTCTACTTCAATTTGCTAATATTAATTTTGGCCTCATGAGCTGCAGAGAGGCAGCCAAGAAGACTCTCTGTCCTCCACATCCACACTGCTCCTCCTTCCTCTCTTAACCCCTTCTCTGCCTCCCCGATATTCTCTTTGGCCCTTGACCTCAGTCTGTTACCAATTTAAACTTCCTATCTTTCTATCCAACATAACTGAATGGAAGAACAAGTTGTCAGGACAACTAGCAAAGGATCCATATAAGAGTTTTGGGCTCAGTTTTCTTTGATGTTTCAGTGGTATTGGATTAGGATTATATCTGTCAAGAACATTTTTCTGCCATCTCTTAATAGTAAGATTTTGATACAACATCAAAAGAAGTAAAAAGAGACAATATATTACTCTGGAAAGAGCATGATTTGAATTCCTGTTTCTGCCATTTTCTACCTGCTGCTTAAGTTTTCTGCATCTCAGCTTTCTTAAATATAAATTGGAGATACTCTTTAACTTCCAGGATTGTGGTGATATTTAAGTGAGATGATGTATATAAAGTATCTAGCACATAAATAATCCTAAATGAATGGTACATTTTATCATGAATAGCTTATGATTTTAAAGTGTATGTAAAGTGTACCTGAGGGAAATATCTGCTCAGCATCCTTCTAAAATTCAGTTGAATTTTTATTCCATCCTTCTGCCTACCAGGGCTTCAGGAGACTTACCTGATTAAATAGATCAGCTTTCTTATTTTCAGAAAAAGATCCACAAACCAACTCCATTCTTATCACCAGAATTGAAAGAAGTTGACATGATTATTTCCCGGTGGTATGTTGCTGCCCCAAACTTCCAGAAGAGGGCACCAACTGTCTTTCTAACCTTATGGCATGGTTGATAGGGTGGGGTGGAGGGGTGGGTTGTAGGTGATTGGAACAGGATCTCCTACAAGATATTTACCAGCCCTTCCTGCTTTAGAAAAAGCCAGTGTGTGAAAACACTAACTATATAAATAGGATAATTTAGGAGGTGATTATTGACATGACAGAAGGGGTTCTTGACATTAAAAAGTCAGTCACCACAAGTTGGTTTGAGCAGCAGGAACTGTTAGGACACAGTGTAGGTTAACTTTTCTATTTTTTTTTCTTTTTTCCTTATTTAACTTTTCAAATTATAATATCCTGGGCACACTGGCAAAATGCATGAAATGTATAACCTTTGCCATGCGTAAGTAGCAAGTCCCTGCTCACAGCACTTGGAAATGGGCATTGCACCAGCTTCCCTAGGCTGAAGACCAGGGAAGGTCAAATTCAACTGCAGTTTGTTCAGGTCCAAATACAAATACAGCCAAATCAGCCTTGGGTCACGGACTTTATGCTAAAACACACTTAATCAAGACTCAATGGTGTATCAAACAACGTGTTGAGTGCATCATAGTGGAATAAAATATAACAAGGAAAACATGTGTAAAAGTCCTGAGGATGCAGAATACCTGTGTAGCCAGAACACAAAGAAAGACTGGGGGAGAGTTCATGTAATAATGATATGGTAAATAGGAGTTGGAACATGCATAGCCTTGTAAGGAGGGCTAGCTTTTGTGCATATTATTGGCATAATGTGCAAATTAGAAAAAGATATCTCTTTTGGTTGGATATGGCTCTATGGTTTAGCAAGTGGAACACAGGCTGGAATTCAGCCCTTACATGCCTCCTTGACAGGGCATCTATGTGTACTGCACTAATTGCATGCCCACTTATGACCACCCTATTTGTAAGGATTTTGGCTTTTTCTGTGTTTCAGTCACACTAGCCTTCTTTTATCTATCAGTTTTTCCAACAAACTACACAACTTTGCCTCAAGGTCTTTACATATACTGTCTCCTCTGCCCAAAATACCCTCTCCCCTCTTATTTCCAAGGGAACTCCCACTCAGCCTTCGTATTTCAGCTCAAGCATCACTTCCTTGAGTCCCCAGGTTAGATCTAAGGAGCATTTAAGGAGATTCCCAATGAGGATGATACTTGTACTGGATCTTCAGTTATGAGTGGTATTTTGACTGTTGGAGAAAAGAAGATAAGCTATCCCAGGATCAGTTCAGAACTTTTCAAATATAACCCTGAAAATTGTAAGAAGGATGGATTGGTGACACCTTGAAAGGTTCTTCAAAGCAGGACCTGAAGAAGAACAATGTCATCCTTACCACAGGTTTCTTAGGGAGAGTTGGGGAGCAATTGTAAGGAACAAATTCAGATACAAGTCACACATACTGAGCATATACTGGATCCTTCATTCATGTGTTCTTTCATTAATTACAAATGTGAAATACATATGGGTATTCCTATTTTACAGAAAGAGGAATTGAAGTTCACAGCAGTTAAGTGACTTAATCTGGATCACATAACTATAACGAAAGGCAGATTTGCATTCAGATCTCCTTATTCCAGGTCCAGGGCTTTTATTGTACCTTTGAGGAGTCTGTACTTGTCTTCTGTAGTACTTATGAGGCTTGGCTTCTCATTCTGGGTCTTTAGAATCTGGTGTTCAGTGTAAGGATAATGAAACTTCTATCCAAATGATCCCTCTAAGAGCTCCTTATGTTGCTACTGGGAACCATGGCCTGGAGGAAATGTCCAAGAGGGAATCTCTGGGAATAATGATATAAAACAGAACCTTGAGAGTGCAGAATTTTAATTCTCATCATTTATAGACCATTTTTCTCCTAGGCAGCCAGAAGATC